GAAGCGTTCATGAACCCGTAAAAAAAAAAAAAATCTGCACGTTTGTATTAAATATTATAAATTTACACACAATACTTTAGAGTTCTCTTATTAATTTAATATTTTTACTAATTTAATATTTAATTAATAAATAAATTTAATATTGTATGATAAAAATATGATGATTAACACATTTTAAAGATTTTAAGTTGAAGATAAATACCAGTTGTTAAGGTATTAAGTACCCATTCCATGACATATCTTAATTAATGATGATTAACATGCATCATTTACATATTTGATTTTCTCTTATTACTGTTTCATTTTAATATTATTTATTATTATTACTATTTTTTTTATTTACTCCTAATGTGAGATATGTGATGTGACCAATCCATTTATCTTTAATTTCCTACATACTTTTACAAATTAAAAGGGAATGAAAGATTTAAAACACACCAAAATAAAAATAATAAAACTAAAAACTAAAGAGAAAGAAGGAAAAATTACAATATAATAATGTTTCCAAATGCTTATTTCCTTCAAAAAATCTCCACCATTTCGAATTCACGATAACATAATCATCATATAAAATTTAAAAAATATCTTTTATGATCTATATAATTTTAGTTTTGTCAATTTTTATTATATATATATATATATATTTTTTTTTTTTTTTTACTTTTACTTTTATTTGACTTTAGTTAAAATACAATAATTATCTTATTTATTTTCAATTTGTCGTACAAACAATACATTTTCATCTTTTGTTAAATTTAGAATAATCGTCATTAGATATTTTTCCTCTTGCCATAGGAAAATCATAATCCAAATGGTAAACTCTAAGTTAATGAATTTGAATGTGAGTTATTTTGTCGAAAAGGAGTAACCCGTCATATCTTTTTTATAGTATCATAAAAAATTTATAACTATATAACAGAATACTAGAATATATATTGGTTACAACCTTAAATAAATTACTAATATCAATATTAATTTATAATCTTAAACATGCAAAATTCAAACACCAAATAATAGATAAACTAATTTTTTAACACTATTATTTATGAATTTTAAACATGTATAACTATCTATTTCAATATATTATGCATCCTAATCCTATTTTCATCATAGAAGAGGCTTTCTTCTTTCCTTTCTTCCTCTTTTTTATCATTTTCATTTCTATTGCTTCTTTTTCCTCCTCTCCATCTTTTTTTTTTTTTTTACATTTCATTTCATTCCTTTTTAATTCATTTTTAACACTCTCCATTATAAAAAAAAATTATGTACAAATAAATAAAAACAAATTAATTTAACCCCTAAATTATAATAAAAATAATAAAATTAACAACTCCAAGAATAAAAATAATAATATTTCTCGTAGTTATAGGTTAATTCGATTCAATTTTTTCAATTATCACTCACTGAATTTTAACATTAATGTTATTATAATAAAAATGATATAAGTGTTCTCCCTCTTTACTTGAAACTTGCCAAAAAATACAAGTAAAAACTAAAACTACCCTAATATGTCCGTAAACTTCTCAGCTTTGCTATGAATCTCACTTGTAATATCCTTAATTAATTTTAAAATATTTAAAATTAGAGTATAAATATAAGTTTTAAATTTTTCAATTTTTTATTTAATGTATAAAATTTAATTTTTAATTTTATAAATTATTAATTAATGTAAAAATGAAGAAAATTAAATGGGGCATGAAATTGAAAATAATTTTGAGAAAAAGTAGTGAAATTTTGGGTTCTGTGGGTATTTTTGAAAGAAAATTTAGAACTAAGGATCGAAATGCAATTTAAGAGAATTGTGCCATGTAGGATACCCAGTCAGCAGACTCAACGAACCAGAGCGTACTGTGTGGCAAGGGATACTAACACGATGCCACGCGGGCGATCTGCATGACCACAATCGGAGGGTTCATATTCGTTCCCGTGCGCATAGACGGTCAAATTTAAACGTGATGAACGGTCCAGATCTATTTCGTATTTAAACGCGATCGGACAGTCCAGATTAAATCGCAACGGACGACCTAAATTCATTCCCTATTTAATCGCGATCGGACAGTTCAGATCAAACACGATGAACAGTTCAGATTAAAAGATGATGAATATAAATAACCATCTTCACACTAAACCTTAACCCTAGCCACCAGACACCTCATCGGAGAAGAAGAGCCAGCTGCTCGCCGCCAGACCGAAGCTACTTCCGACTGTCAAAATAGGTAAAAATTTTATAATTTGCTCGAAATTTGATTTTAAACACTCCCATGGCCAAATGAGAGTAAAAGGACAAGTGGATTGGCCGAAAACGTGGGAAACTGCAAAAAAAGCCTTCGATGAGACTCTACCCGATTCCCGTTGTGCGTAATTCTTTCACTATTGTAATCACCGTTTCCTTCTCTACAGGTTTATTGAAGCAAAACACCAAACCGCAAATGTGAGCTGGTGGAGCCACTGCACTAGAGAACCCCGTCGTCGGTAAGTTTTTATTTTTCAATTTTTTTCTGCTAACTGAGACCCCTTAATGTATTTTTTTACAGGAATTGATACAAAACTGGCCGAATTCGGCCGAAAACAGCTGACCCGAGGCAGTGGTGCCGCTGCTGGAGCACGGCAAAGCTGCCATGCTGGAGTTCCAGAATTGGCCAAAAAGAGTTTCTAATGTTGATTTTGGATTTTTTTGGGATATTTCTAAGTAGTTAAAGCGCGTTTTAATCTCCAAGAAAAAATTCAGGAAACCCGAAAATGCTAGTAGGCGCAGTTAAAGGTTTAGCATTTTGGACATCAATTTGTGTAAGAATCTCTTACCTTATTCTCTTTTATAGAATTGAAGTCTAATTAATAATAATACGGTATTTTGTGTAATTTAAAAAATATCCATAATTAATTACAGGTTACTAATGAAGCCAGAACCCGAAAGTTATTCATTGTTAATTCTGTTGATTTATTGTACAGTTTAAATGCATGATAATACCTTATTGATTGATCTTATAGTTTGCATGCATGTATTCCTTACTTTATATTATTACGGTTGAATTGAGAAACTTGAAAATAAAAGGTAATCAGGAGATTGTTTGATTAAGTGAATAGATAAAACAACAGTTTTACTGGATATCCTAGGAGATGGTGGACGGACTGGGTACATAGAAAACTCTACCGTGAACATTGACTCATACCGGAAGTGGTATCGAGGTTTGGTAATTTAGCACTCATACCGAACGGGGTATGGGGACGACCCTTTCACCCTCATATCGGATGAAATATCGAGATTTAATAATTTGGTACTTATACCAGACGAGGTATGGAGACGGCCCATTAATTAGAAATGTAAAGAAAAGGGTTTATGCGTTGCAGGAACATCCTTATGGACCCCCATGGATACCAGTAGGCTAATAAAAGAGAAAATTATTGTTCCAGCCGATTGCATATGAAATTATGATATGTGTTATATTATTGCCTCTATAGGTTATTTTTTTTACAAATCTCGCTACGGTAAGTATATGGTAAATGGTTTTATTTATGATAAACGACTTTGCTTAATTAAAAGCTCCATTAGTTATTTTTTTGATTTTTACCAACCTTCATTTCTGTGTCGATAAATAGTGTGATATTCTTACTCGGCTAGTGTGACTCATTCTTTCATTAACCATTTCATATCAAAAGGACCAGGATCCAAAATCCGATCCACAAGAGGGTTGCGAGTAGGATGTTCAATTTGTTTACTTTTAATTTATTTCTTTGGTTATTAGTTATTCTTTTAGAAGGATTATTCCCGTAAGCCCTATTTGGTACTTTCAGTTATTGTGTAAGGAATGTAAACCCTAACTATTTATCTCGCTTCTACACTAAATTTATAATTTATCTCCTTTAGAGTTCCGAAGTCGTTACATCACTCATGCCATGTTTGCATAAAATTTAAAAAATGAAGTTTACTTGAGTTCAACTATGGATTTCATTCACAAATTACTTATGTAAAATTGATATTGACTTGAGCTTTTGTAAAAGATCAAAAATAGTTAGATAAATAATATTGAAATTTATCAGTTTTACGGAAGCAGTTTAGGATTTAGGGTTATATTCTATGCACAATTTAATTGAAATGCTCAATAGGATTATGTGAATGCCCCTTAAGAAAATTAAAAGACAGACAAGTGTCATTCAGAAAACCTATGTAATCAACATCTGTTGCGCAACTG